GATCATGACCTGAGCCGAAGGCAGACGCTCAACCATCTGAGCCACCCAGGCGCCCCTAAATAGGTAAAGTCTTTAAAAATTAATAAATAAAATCATAGAACTGTTATAAGAAAATATCTGCAAATGGTATGTCTGATAAGGGGTTAGCGTCCAGAATTTATAAAGAACTCTTTCAACTCAGTAACAAAAAGACACACAACTGAATTGAAAAATATGCAACAGATTTAAATAGACATTTCTCCAAAGATGATATATAAATGTATAGCAAACACCAGAAGTGATGTTTAGCATCAGTCCTTAGAGAAATGCTAATCCAAAATACAATGGAAAGTGCCTGAGTAGTTCAGTCAGTTAGGCGTCTGACTCTTGGTTTCCACTCAGATCCTGATCTCAGGGTCTTGAGATTGAGTCCTGCATTGGGCTCCGTGCTCAGCGGGGAGTCTGCTTGAGATTCTCTTCCTCTCCCTCTGTACCTTTCCCTGCTTGTTACTCTCTCTCTTAAATAAATAAATCTTGAAACAAAATACAATGAGAAACCACTTCACACCCATTAGGATGGCTAGAATCAAAAAAATGGGAACAGTAATGTCTGAAAATGTGGAGAAACTAGAATACTCATACAGTGGTGGTAGGATTGTAAGATGGTGCAGCTACTGTGCAGTTTGGTGTTTCCTCCAAAAGTTAAAATTGGTATTATTGTATGCTCTCGAAAATTCCAATCCTCAAAAAAAAATTTCCTTGAGGTAAAACAACAAAAATTATCTCAAAGGAACAAAAAAGAGAAAGAAAGAGTTAAGAATAGATGTCTGGGAGGGGTGCCTGGGTGGCTCAGTCATTAAGCGTCTGCCTTTGGCTCGGGTCATGATCCCAGGGTCCTGCTTCTCCCTCTCCCATTTCCCCTGCTTGTGTTCCCTCTCTTGCTGTGTCTCTCTCTGTCAAATAAATAAAATCTTAAAAAAAAAAAAAAATAGATGTTTGGGAAGTGGTAACTTCTAAAAATCAACTTTATATATAATTAGGAGCACAAATCACCATCAGAGTCCTTTTGTGGTGAAGAAATTAACCATGGTAACTAATGTAGGGAAAAGACTCTTCCTATTAGGGTAAATAACTGAAAACAGGAACTGGCAAAAATCAATTTTTCCAATGCAACATAACCATGCAATAATGTTAGAACAGTTACTGTCTCATTTAATGTTATGAGTCACTTAATTCAAGTAAAAACACATTAAAAGTGAAGATTTATTAACAGAAAATAAAGACATGTACCTACCTGGGCCACTCAACATGGCTTTTATTGTTCCAGATGTTAGTGCATGTTCTCTTTTTACAATAAATTCATGACCATCCGAAGATATCAATTTGACATACATGGCATCAGGGCCTTCACAGCCACCATAGGTTTTCTCTTCTCCATCCATTATGTTCTTATGAAATTCTACTTTACTTCCACAGGAACTTTAGTAGTTTCTCGTCAGCCCTGCAGCCACAGCAGCCACCGCACCGGGTCCCCGCGCACCGCCACAGCCCCTACTCCAGGGCCGCCCCCCCACCCCCAGCTGCCT